GGGGATTGAACATTATAAATACAAATTGAGCATCCCTAAGCTGAAAACCTGACTTCTACAATGCTCCAGAATGACATCACAAGTGACAAATTCCATAGCTGATCTCGGTTGATGATTTTCAGTGAAAATGAAAGTGTAGTAAAAAGATTTGTCTAAAATTACCTTTGGACTATGTGTATAAGGTATATATGAAACCTAAATGAACTTTAGGTTTAGTTTGGGTCCCACCAGGTGTGGTGGTGCACACTTGTAATCTCAGCACTTGGGAGGATTCCCAGTTGAGGCAGGAGGATTGTAGCAAGTTCAAGGCCAGTCTGAACTACACAGTAAGAGCCGGTCTCAAAACAAAGCAAAACAGATTGGGTCCCTTTCCCAAAGTAGCTCTTTTTTTTTTTTTTTTTTTTTTGTCCTTTTCCTTTTTTTCGGTACCGGGGATGGAACTCACGACTGCCTGCTTGCAAGGCAGGCGCTTATGCCGCTGAGCTAAATCCCCAGCCCCTAAAGTAGCTCATTATTATATACAAACATTTGAAAACTTAAAAATTGAAATCCAACACACTTCTGGTCCAAAGTATTTCAAATAAGAAATACTCAACTCACGTAAGTTTCAAATGCATCAGTACACACCAAACAGTAAGGAACTTCCATGTGTTTATCATTTGACATCAAAAATGATCGACTCTTGGCCAGTATTGTTTCATCCATACTTTCTATTTCATATTATTGCAAAGCAAACTACAGACATGGAGACAGAGATTTAAAAGTAGGAAGCACATGCTGGGGATGATGGTGGAGGCCTGTAATCCCAGCACCCTGAGGCAGAAGAATCACACATTTGAGCAACACCTTGACAATTTAGTGACTTAGCAAAACCATCTCACAACTCTAAAAAAGTGAAAAAGAAGGGTGGGGATGTGACTCAGTATGAAGGCCCTGGGTTTAATCCCCAGTAACTAACATACACACACACACACACACACACACACACACACACACACACGCACATGGAACTATAGAATATGTGGATTTGAGAAGACCTCAGAGGACTTTAAAGCAACCTGTCTCATTTTATAGGTGAACCAAACTGAAGGTTTGAATAGTAATAGATTTGGCTTTTTATTTTTTATTTATTTTTATTTTAAAGATAATAAAACCAAGCAAAATAAAACAGAATAAAGCCAATCAAACCAGTGTAAGTGACACAGGACTTCAAAGCAATAGGAAATCAACAATGGTTACCACAGTGCCTTCTATTGTCTCCCAAATAGCTACAGATACCTTCAGACATAGTAAAAATCAAATGAAACAGACTAGTACCAATAAAAACAAAACAATGAATGCAAAAAAGACTTCAAAACAATATAGCAGTAAATCCAAAATGGTTACTATATCTTGCTATCTTTGAAATAGCTGCCCATGCCATTGGATATAATAAAAATCAAATAATATAATAATAAAACACAACCCAACAAAACAATGAAAATGATATGGGACTTCCAAACAAGTTAATAGAGAATTAACAATGACTGCCACCTTCAGAAAGAGATTCCTCATAAATAATATAGTGTGTATTGCTATCCTTTGAATAGATGATCAGACTACCAGCCTTAGACCTGCAAAGGCAGTGAAACACTAAACACTACAAGCATTAAATTGTATTTTATCTCAATAGTTATCATCACAGCCTGTGTTTTTCCAGATCAGCCTGTCTCTTATAGCTGGAGGATGGGGGTAGGGATGGAGATGGTGGTTGACTCATTTCCCAGTCTGCATGACAGAAGGGGCTGGCAAGTGGCTCTCCCCACAGCCGCATGGCCATGACGCCGATTCACAGGGAGGGTTTGCTTCTTGGTCTAATTTGCCTTTTTAAAAACACTGATAGAACATAGAAATTTTCAACCAGCTTTGCCAATTTTTATCTAAGATGAAATGAGAAAAATAAAATGTAAACTTTTTTCATGAAGTTAAAATTTACTTTCAAAAATTACTATTTGTAAATATATTACAAAAGTAAATGTCCTGTCTTCTTCATCTAATTTAGTCTAATAATGCCACATATGCCATATTATAAAATATAACTATAAAGGAATTTAGTACTGACAGTTGAACAAGAGAACCGTATTTACTTCACTATCATTGGTTAGTTTTCACACTAGACTTGGAGGTCACGGGGTCATTGTAAGTCTGCACCAAGACAACAAAAGAGTCCTATCTGTTTGGAGTCAGTTTACTTGAGACTGCCAGGAAAGTCACCTTGGATGACTTGTCACCTCTTGTACCACATCTATGTCCATGGATCCAATTTTGTGTTGATCATCGTTAACTAAAACATGTAACAAGGCAGTAAGAGGTATATTGATATGAATTCCCATATGAAGAGTACAACTGAACAATATTCAGCTGCCAGAAGAAAATAATGTAGATTTATTAGAAAATTTGAGTTTTAGGTTTTTTAAAGTAAAGTAAACTAATCTCTGCTATTTATACTTTATGTGGTAATGTTCTTTGTAAAGGGATTATGAGGCTACATATACATGCATACACAAACCCTTTTGACTTTTTAAAGTCAAAATTCTGAATTTAAGACTATGGATAGTGGGGCTGGGGATTTGGCTCAGTGGCATAAAGCGCCTGCCTTGCAAGCAGGCAGTCATGAGTTCGATCCCTGGTACCGATAAAAACGAAAAAGACACACACACACACACACACAAAAAAAGACTATGGATGGTAGTAGAAATTCCAAAAGAATATCATCACCCTATCGTATAGGGTGGAGACATAGCTCAGTAGTAGTGACTGACAACATATGTGAGGCTTTGGGTTCAACTTCCACCAAACACACATACACACACACACACACACACACACACACAAAATACTTTATAAAGTGACACTAAATATTCCAGAATTTAAAAGCCATTTATAATTAAGATGTTTAACTTTCACTGCAAAGAACACATAGATATTTGAGGCAATAGATATGTTTAACCTGATTTTAAAATTATGCAAAAGGTGTATGTATCAAACATTACATGGTACTCCATTAGTATGGACACCTTTTTATTTTTACATCAGTTAAAAAAGTAAGGTAGCTGACCCAGATAAGACAAAAATAATTAAGGTGTTTAATATATAAAAGAGGCCTGCTTTGATTTAGCAATAAAGGAGTCAAAAAGTTCATGCAGTACCTTTGTCATATAATACACTTACTGGAAGAATAAAACAAATGGCAAGAGTATGTGATCAGTCATTTCAGAGGATTAAGGTTTCAAACTATCCATGGACATAGATGTGGTACAAGAGGGCATAATAATTCTCCATGAAAAACCTGTTATTTAAAATCTTTGTAATATAGTACATTGGCGTCCTTTCTTAGGAAGAACTGGCCCTTATTCAGTCTTTCTTCCTGTTTTGTACTGCATGTTCTTTCATCATTAAATAATGATAACTTTAAAAAATCTTTAATTAGGACAAAATGCAACGTTGGCATCAATTTTTTAAGTTTAATGTTATGGTCTGTAAAATACGTAATTGAGGGAACCACTGCATTGCAATACCCAGAACAGAAGAAATGGGAAAGAGGTTGGCAAGAGAAAAATTGCTAAGATTGAGCAGAAGCCAAGAGCTGAGATCCACAGAAGCAGAAAGAGCTGGTAAAGGAGCCTGCAGATTGTGTAATGAGAGGGGAAGGGTATGAAGGCTTCCTACAGGCTTCTACCACAGTAACTTCTCACAATGACCCTGCAAACTAGAAGCTTTTCTCATAAGGCATTAAGTTTCAGAAGGGGCACCCAATAGTGCCCAATGCAAGGCAGACGTTTACAGTGACAGCAGCAGCAGCACATGGGTTTTAAGGTAACAGGCAGCTGGAGACCAGGATACAGTGACTATAGTGCTGGTTATACTGAACTGTCACAGGGTACACTGACCAGGGAAGACATTGTACCCTCATAATGCGTTTATTTAAATCCAGACCCCTGTGATTCACAATGCCATCTTATTTTTCTAGCTACTCCATTTTTATTTGTAAATAAATACATGAGAAACTTCCCTGTTCTCTATTAATCATTAACATTTTTAAAGAATTAGTATACTCTAAGCAGTGTGCTAACGCTTTTGAGGTAAGCCTTGTAGTGTACCTCTGCTACAGTACTAGGGCAGATGCTCATGCTTGTTCTCCTAAAATGAACCTACTCACCACCCAACAGTTAACAAACACAGAAACAGAGCCAGAATCCTGAGGGTCGGGCCACATCAGGGAACCTCTAACCCCTTTTATTCCGTTAGATTAGGATGCTACTAAAAAACTACCTACATGAGCACTTTGTAGGCAACAGTGTAGGCTAAATTGTGCCCATAATTCCTTGGGAAGGATGCTGTTAGAAAGTTTATGTGTCATTATTTATGTAGTAAACCATCTAAATTTCCCAAATAATTTGATGCCAAATAATCTGATGCCACCATTTGGCTTTGCCACTAAAGCCAGGAACCTGTCCTTCCTTTCAATATTTAAAACTATTATTTGAATTAGCAAAATAAACAGCTGATACAATGCAACATTAGTATAAAGTAATATTTTGATAAGCAGTGCATATTAGGTATTAAAAATGTATTAACCAAACTGAAGAGAAAACAGCCAAGAAAAACAAACATTTTGAATTTATTTTTTAAAGGTGGTTCATTCTCACCATTTTTTTCCAGTTTCAATCATTTCCTTTTTTCCTAACATTCAACCATAATTCACCAAGCTACACGTCTGCCACTGGAGGCATAAGCTAAAAACAGCCACCATGCATACGACGCCCCACTGTGTTGGACAGTTCTGACTCAACAGTAACTCTAAGGGTTAGTTATTTTTAAAAACAAAAAATAAACAAAAACAGCCAGGTGTGTGAAGGCACACCTGGCTGAGGCAGGATGATCATGAGTTTGAGGCCAGCCTGGGCTACATAGCAAGACCCTATCATGCACACAAAAAACAAATATCAAAAACCAAGTAATACATTGTTTAAAAGTGAAAGTTTTTATTTTACTTTACGGGTTCACTTTCTGGTTTTGTTAATTTATGACAAGTAAGAAGGAAAATAAATATCACATTGTAGCATCAATTTTATTAAATTAAAAATATATCTTAAAATTTCTTTTATTTCAGGTACATTCCCAAACCATACAGTAATAATTTATAGAAAATTTGCTGAAAATTCACAATAAAAAAGACTCAGAGTGGCATAACAAATCACTTTTGAGAATTACTTTTATCATGTTTTTTAATAATGTCCATAAGATTAGCTCCTGTAACCAGGTCATTCTGTGTTCGCTTGTCTTTCTGCTGTTCCTTTCTCTTCTGGTCATGAAGGTAAGGAGAATTTAATAACTGTGGGGGAAGAATAGATCCGGTGGGCTTCACTCTTTTTGCAATATCCCAGAAGAGTCTTTTTGAACTATTATTGATGAAAGTAATTGCTGTTCCAGTCTGACCTAATCTTCCTACTCTTCCAATCTGAAATAAAATACACAGGACATCTTCAAAATGCTCACATAAAATCTTACTGTTTACTGAAATGAAGACTATTATTTAAAGACTTTGTACTAAGATTAACAGTCAAACAGGATTTTTTGAACAATGCATCTCAATACACTTATGAGATCAATTTAGAGGGCTGCCACCAATGTATGTTATCAAACAGCTCACACAAAAAGAGTGGTCACACATAAAAATACATCTTGTCTTTGAAATTGGTGCCTCAGTTTAACAATGTGTGTGCAGAGCATGGGTGGGTAATGATAGCGATGTCTCTGAATGCCTGCAAGTGAGTTTTAAAAAAAATTGAAAGCCTTTGGCAACCTTCACAACAGGACTGTCTGCTTAGAATACTAAAGTGCCCTGACGTGGCAGATTTAAACTCATTCAGTTTTGCATAGTTAATTCTCAGTTTGATAGATTTAAATGCACACAAATTTCTGATGGGAACCCATAATGAAGCACTGAGTCTCCAAATATAATACATAATGAAAATATATGCAAAACTCTTCAAAAGATGGGAAAAACACACAGGCACAGTTAACTTCTTTTCATTAATCAAAAATGCAGCCTGGTATGTTAGCACATGCCTTTATTCCCAGCACTTAGGAGGCTGAGACACAAAGGATGGATGTGAGTTCAAGGTCAGCCTGGGCTACAAAGTGAGTTTAAGGCCAGCCTAAACTGCATAGTGAGATCTTGTCTCAAAAAAAAGAGAGAGAAAAGAAAATGCAAATCTTAAAGTTCACATTGGAAGCATTTAAAAGAATAGGTGGTAACTATAAACATACAGGGTATTTTTACATTGTAAAAGAAGAAACCTCTAAAAAACACTGTTAAAGGAATAGTCTTTAGGGAAAAAGAATGAGAAGTGAGCGAAATGAACATTGTATTTCAAGATAAGCTTTTATTTCTACCTGATTTGCTTGACTATATTATTGAAATGCTCCAATAAAAATAATATAAACAATAGCTGTAAATACAGATCTGGAGAAAGTATTTGCAAATCATGTATGTTAGTAAGAGTCTTTAGGGTAAGTTAAAAGAATTTCTAAATACAAAAATAGAATCCAATTTTTAAATGGCAAATGTATATAGATATTCTCAATGTCTATATGTACAAGTAGCCAACAAGCATGTGTGAAATTCTGTTTAAGCTATAAAGAAAATGTAAGTCAAACTACAACAAAATATCACTCTATACTTACTAGAATGGCTATAATCTAAAAGAAAAGATAGTAATTGTTGGCAAGGCTGTGGAGAACCTGGAACTTATATATTGCTGGTAGGAATGTAAAATAGTTGAGAAAGTCCTCAAAATGTTAAACAAAGCTATCAGGGACCTAGCAATTCTATTTCTAGGTACCAATCCAATAGAAATTAAAACTCAAGTGGATATAACAGCTTATGAATTTGCATAGCTGTATCATTCATAGCAATCATACTAGCCACACTGGAAACAACCTGAACACCTAGCAACTAATGAGTGGGTATGCAAAGGTGGTACATCCACAGAATAGAGTATTACTTTACAATAAAAAATTGTGTGGTAGTACATGATACAATATGGGTAAACACAAAACATGCCAAATGAAAGCAAGTCACTGAAGAACACACAGTGCATGACTCCACTGACATGAAATACACATAAGACCAAATCCTGTCTCTGACAGGAAGCAGACTGAGAAGTGGTTACGAGCAGTGAGTATGTGTGCATACACATATGATGTAGACTGAAGATGGTAGTGGGTAGCTCTTCAAAATGGTAACATTTTTTTTGATGATAACATTTTTTAAACTTGACTTCAACAAAGTTGTATAACTGTGAATAAATTTTCACTTTAGATGAGCACACTGTATAGCATGTGAATAACATCTATTGAAATAATTTAACAGATAGTTGTTAATAACTAAAATCATTGCCAAATTCCAAAATATAGCTGATGTTAACAAATGTCAAGTTACTTCTCCCAGAATCTCTCTACTCTTAAAACTAAAAAGTAGATACTACTCAGCAATTCTGATTGTAATTCTAGATTCTAAATACACATCCTGTAATTTACCTATTTTATTATCTATTAGGAATTGGTTTTTTGTTTTTGTTTTTGTCTTTGTTTTGTTTTCTGAGACAGGATGTCACTACATTGCCCAAACTGGGCTGAACTGCTGGGCTTAAGCAATTCAGACTCACAAGTAATAGGGACCAGACACACACATTACCACACCTGGCAGAATCCATGTCACAGTAAAACTCACACAGGTAAGCGCATGAAGGATTGCTGCAGCGTTATTTACCAACAAAAATACTAGCAACATTTGATTATCCATCAACAGATTACATTAAATAGTAATAGTACATTCATACAATACATTACCTTGCAAATACTAAAACAAAACAACCCAGATTAAATAAGTAAAAGATCAATTAAAAAGCTCAGAGAAGGGGTTGGAGATTTAGCTCAGCAGCATAAGTGCCTGCTTAGCAAGCACAAGGTTGTGAGTTCAATCCTTGGTTCCACAAAATAAATAAATAAAATAAAATAAGGTACAAAAAGCTCAGAGGAGTAGGTGGACACACAGTAAGCATTCAATATAAATTAACATTTGCTAAATGGTATCTATTATGTGTACTGATGAGAGAAGACATCTAAGGCACACTTAATAAAGTATGATGCAGAATGGTTGGTATGAGGTTTCATTTACCTATGCGTAATATGTACCCGTAACTATATGTGTGTACCATGCGTATGTATATGTATGTTTATATTTTCTGTACAGTTTACTGTTGAAACTACTTAAAGGTAAAAAGCAATAGGAAAAAGCCTTTTTATTTAATATCTTTCATTTTTTTGCATTATTTGTTATCATGTGATAGGTACTTTAACTACCTAAGCAAGTAAACAAACCAACAAGACCCAGAACTAGAAAAGTACAACGTTCTGCAGCTATTCTGAGTAGAGGTAAGAAATTCTACAAACTATTAATTCCTAAAGCCATTGCTGTTTTACAGGAAGGTACATAGTGAGTAACTGGGAGTCACAGAGTAGATCTTGGGATAGCAAGAAAGGTTAAGTAATCATAACTCACATTCTCTTTAAAAAGCAAAAGAGTTTCATATTATTTTGGAAAGATTTCCATTCAAAATTAGTAAAAATCTGAAAGAAAGCAGACCAGTTATTTGAACAATTAACTGCTGTGGGATAATCAATTCACTGATTGGTAGGCAAATGAGGTGGTACCCAAAATACAAATCCTAAAAGCACTTCAGAGGGTGAGTCAAGTAAATGTGGCATTCAGAGGTGATTCTAAGAACATCAGAGAAAGGCTCGCCTGGCAGGACTGTAAATGATGCCCGAGAAGGAAGACAGGCAGCAGGTAGGGAGATAGTGTGGCACTGAAAGAAAGCTCTATTTCTGTGAGAAAGAGAAGCTACTGTTACCTTTGGCAGCAAAAGAAAGGAACAAAATTTTAAAAGGTGAAAAACTAGAACAAATAAGGATATGAAGTACAGATGAAGACAAGACTCCTAAAAAACTAACACTGTACTAAAGGATCAATTTTATTTTGGTGGATATATCAACCTAAAATAATCATTTTAAGAAGTTTTTCTTTTCTGATTATAAAGAAATTAGTAAAACAATTTTAGTAAACATTCAGGTTTTTAAATTTTTTTTTTTATTCCCAATTAGTGTCGTAGGGAATTGACCCCAGGGAACACAGAGCTACATCTCCAGCCATTCATTCATTTGTGCATTCATTTATGAGACGAGATTTCCATGTGCTGCCCAGGCTGGGCTCAAATTAATAACGCTCCTGCCATAGCCTTTTGAGTAGCTGGAATTATAGATGTGGCCACTGTGACCAATCAGTTTTTTAAAATGCATTTTAGGCAAACGGGTAGGCTTTAAAAACAAAATTTAAGTTTATATGCATATATATAAAGAGTAGGAGTACATAAGTCTATGTACTTTTTTAACACCATACTGACAATGCCTTACTCAATAAAACTCATGAACCAAAAGTGCTGACAGCAGAGCCTCTTTACCTGATGCACGTACTCGTCCATACTTGACGGCATATCAAAGTTCACAACCAGCCTGACACTGATCAAGTCCAGGCCTCGTCCCAAGACTCCTGTGCTCACCACAACTTCATACTCTCCTTCCAGCAATCCCTTTCCAAAGAAGCAACAGGATTAAATCAGAATTTATTTATATGGTTTTATACAATTCTGGTATCTTTTCTTTTTCAAATACTTCCTCTGATATTTGTACCACATTTTTTTAATAAAGCCTTGTTACACCTAAAAAATGTTTGTACCTTAAATTCTCTCCAACCCCCAAGCAATTTATTCTATTAATTTACCCTCAGGCAAATCTTATTCAAAGATAAATTACTGCTCTGCTCCAGACCAAACTGACCTGATTTCAGAAATGATGAATTCTGAACTAGTAATCCATTTAGTATATAATCCCCAGAGAATAGGCACATTGCTCCCAAAACACAGACGCCTGAGCACCAGGAATAATTAACTTCACAGTTATTGGTTGCCTGAAATTTTCACATTCTTAAAAAAGGTCTGCTTTAAAACCCATCTGGAAATGCACTAGCTCTTGAAAATAAGGCAAAACAGATCTACAGGAAAAAGAAGAAAACCGAATGTCAAACCTTCAGTATGTTTTTCCTTTCTATTTGTGACTTCTCCGAGTGTATCGATGTGCTATTTAGACCTGTGATTTTCTGCACTGCCTCACTTAACAGATCTGCTCCCAACTTGCAGCCCACAAACACTAACACTGGGGGCTTAAAGAGCTTCTTATCCTGAAAAGCCAAAAACACCATTTAAAATTATTGCTATAAATCACAATGAGAAGTTTCTCTGAAAGCATTAATACAAATTAGTTAAGGAAAGGTTTATAGATATTTTAAGGAAGAAAAAAGGCATGCTGTGTTAAAAAAAAAAAACAAAAAAACAACAAAAAAAAACATGTTCTTTAAAATATGTACAAACAGGGGCTGGGGATTTAGCTCAGCGGCATAAGCACCTGCCTTGCAAGCAGGCGGTCGTGAGTTCGATCCCCGGTACTGATAAAAAAGAAAAAGACAAAAAAAAAAAAAAAAAAAAAAAAAAAATATATATATATATATATATATATATATATATATATAAACAGAAGCCAGTCTATAGCCCTTCACATTTCTGCATTAAATTACAAACATATTCTACAAATTTTGAGTGCAATTAATACAGTTCTAAACTCTGCTCATGAGTCAATAAAAACCAGTCAGCACAATACTATACTTGTAAGTAACTACATTGCACGTACTGTATCACCCACTTTAAAAATTTCTGCTTAAGTCAGTCACAGTTAAAAATTTATCAAGGACAAGACACCCAAGAAATAGTTTAAACCTCACCTTATATATATGAAAATACTTAGATTTTTTCAAAGTAAAAAATGCTTAAGGAATAATCTTAATATTTAAATCTTTCTATAAAAAGCAAAAAAGCCAATCCTGCATTTATTCAGTATGTTTTCACAAATAAAAATTTATTTGAACCTCAAATTTATTGCCTTACAGTGAAGCAATTTATTATTAAATCAATTCATCAATGTAAACTAAATTCACCAAAAGCTGCCTCTAGAAATAATTCTCTTAAAGAGTGTGGAAAATACAAATCCAGTGTACAAAACATGGTTCACTGTGGTGTTACCTACATTTAAGATCTCAAATAACTTCTTCTTTTTGGCTGGGTCTTCTACCCACAAGATAATCTGACGCACACTGGGACATGGAAGGTTCTTTTCTCCAGAGACGATTCTTACAGGGTTATGCAGAAGCTGGCTTGCTAGTTGTTCTATGCTAGCTGGAATTGTGGCGGAAGCCAAAATGGTCTGACAGTCATTAGGAATGTTTTCCAAAATGTCAAGAACTTGCTGTTGAAAGCCCATTTTTAGCATAGTATCAGCCTAAAATAAAAGCATCTTAAAGTTAGTCGACATTAAAACCTAGGTAACCCAAGATAAAACTGTTATAATCAAGAACATAAAAAATTAAAAATACTTATGTAGGAAAATATCACAAACAATGTCAAGAGACAAACAAGCCACAGGATTCTTCTTGTCTGTGTGCCACTGGGGACTGAACAAAGGGCTTTTTCACTGATTTCTATCCCCAGCCCATTTTTAGTCTTTTTGAGACAGTCTTGCAAGATTCAGTCCAGGCTGAACTTGAATTTTTGATTCTCTTGCCTTAGCCCCACAGTGCTGAGATTACAGACATGTGAGGAAAATGTCAGCTACAACTATGAACTGTTTACAGCATTGTTAATACTTGCAAAAACCATGCACATCCTAAATATCCATCAACAAGAGACACTATAGTAAATTATGGCCAATTCATGTATTACAACATTATGCTGCCATGAAAAATCATCAGAAAGCCCTTTATCAGACAATGAATAAATTACTAGGGTAAAAATAAAAAGCAAAGTAAAGTAAAGAACACTATGTATCACATACTATTTATGTTACAAAATATTTATGTAAATGTACTCAAGAAATGGGGTTTTTGGGGGGATTTCACTACTTTTGCAGTTTGATTTTTTAAACTATGACTATGTAATATATTTATAATAAAGTATTACTTTGTATTAAAAATGTAACGTGGGGGCTGGTATGGTCTTAATTTTTGTACACTCCCAAAATTCAAATCTTGAAACTTTACTCTCAATCTAATAGTATGATGAGGTCAGCTCTTTTAGATGATTAAGTCAGAAAGGCTCACCCTACGCACAGAGATTTAGTGCCCTCTCAAGAGGCTAAAGGGCGCTGCTACCTGCTCTTGCCATGAGCACTGGCAGGAGGGCACCATCCTCCAGCACTTATCAGATGTGGATCCTGCTGGTGTCTTTGTATGTACTATGCAGCCTCCAAAACTATCAGAAATAAATTCCTGTTGTTTATAAGTTACCCAGCCTAAGGTATTTTGTTATAAAACACAGACTAGATAGGGGCTTTCACACATGAATACATTTCTGTGTTGCTTTTGTAACACAATAAATGAGTCAGTAAGCAAATAGAAAAAAATTTAAATTAGTGCTGCCTTTAAAAAAAGGTTAAGGCTAACTTGATGTCCTAATACAACTCAGGTATCTAGAGTCTGATAACAACAGGTTATTTATTTTAAATTAAGGAACAGTATTTTAAGTGCCCACTAATGTACTGCGATTTAAACTTTAAATGCTTATTTTAATATTATTCATTTTATGAAACTTTAAAATCTGAAATATAATCCTGACAGGGTGAGTTTGATCCTGGTTCCACTTAAGCAACTTAATCAGCTCTAAGCCTTAGATTTTTTTCTTATGAGAATGAGACACAGACTGAGTATCCTTTATCCAAAATGCTTGAGCCCAGAAGTGTTTTGAGGGGCTGGGATTTAGCTAAGCAGTGCCTGCCTGGCAAGACAAGGTTGTGAGTTCAATCCCCACTACCAGAAAAAAGAAAAAAAAAAAAAAGAAGTATTTTGAGCTGTGGACTTTTTTTTCACATTTTAGAACATTTGATACATGTGAGATATCCTAGGGATGGGACCCAAATCTAAACACAAAATTCATTTGTTCCATATACACCAAATACACCTAGCCTGAAAGTAATTTTATATAATATTTTTAATAATTTTGTCCATGAAATAAAGTTTCATGGTATGGCATTTCCCTTTGGTGTCATGTTGGCACTCAAAGTGTTTTGAATTTTGGAGCATCTGGGATTGTAGGTTTTTGGATTAAGGATATTCAACCTTGCAGTGCTATTATGGGCATTAATGAGATGGAGTACGAAGCACAGAAGATGCTTAGGACACCGCCTGCAGTGTAATTCTCACTCTATGTTTCCAGTAACTGTGGGCCACAAAGAACACACATGGTTGTACACACACAGGCACAGTGGGCTTTGCCAACACTCTCAACTTTCCTCCACAGTCCCACAAAGCCCTACATGTCTCTGCACACGGCCTTGCATCCTGTCTTGGGGAATCCATCTGGGCCTTTAGAAATGAGTGCCTTCTGCTTCTCTTCCGCAGGTGCTCTGAAAGGAGCCTAGAACTGCTGTCACTGCTCCGGCTTCTCACTTCCACTCACCATTTCATCCACCCACCCCAGCCCTCCTGAGAACTGCTCTCCGAGGGACAAATCACCCCCAAGTGCTCAATGCAAAGACAATCTTCATCTCTCTTTAATAAACATCTTAAATAATAGAATATGCTCACTGCAGAAGACCTGACAAAAGAACTTAACTTAAACTTGCCTTTCTATCCTGCAATCTAGACATGACCACAACTTTCCTTACTTTCAATGTCCTAAGTATGTCTAGAAATGCCTCTCCCTGCCCTCCATACCCCAACTTGGCTCCGATCCTGGGGACTGGTCTTCTTACTTCCAGGCTATTCACATCCATGGTACCAGTTTGATTATAACTCATCCCCGCTTAAATCCTTCCAGGGCTCCCAATGTGTACAGATTACAGGCTGAACTCTTTAGGCCTCTTACAAACTATGCACTGGAGAAAAGGTTTAAAATGAAATATACTAATTATGGTTAAAATTCTAGAGACATGGGTCCTTCTCTCCCATTTTTCAGCTTTTCTTTAATGTTCACAGATTACTTTTAAAATACGGTTACCAATTCGAAAAGTAGAAGTAGCCATGAATAGCATTACAAGAAAATCTAAGAGAAAATATGATAGGATAGAAAATATTAGAATAGAAAACCCATATGTAGCAAGGATAATTGTTGTTTCATGAAACTTTATTTCATTTATAGTACACAAAGACAACATTTATATACTGAGTTTCCACCTAAACTGTATTTTTTGAAAGTCATTATGATCAGACCTTAGGAGAACTCTTTATTCTTTCTACACTTTTATTCCTACTTTTTAATCTATTTCCTATCCTAGGGGGATTGTCAGCAGATTAAAATTAAAATATATGCTCTTAAAAAATTCTTATAAATAAAAGTACTACATAAATCTGTTTGAGAATCAGGTGTGGTGGCACATAGCTATCATCCCAGTGCTCTGGGTGGCTGAGGCAGGAGATCAAAAGTTCAAGGCTACCCTGGACAACTCAATGAAACTCCATCTCAAAATAAATAAAATGCGGGACTAGGAATGTAGACTAGTGTAAAGGCCCTGGGTTCAATCCCGAGTACTACAAAACAAAGCGCGTGTGTGTATGTGTAGTGTTTCAAACATCAGAACTTCTTACAACTAAAACAAAGCTACTCTGAAAATGCAATGGCAGGAGGTAAGCCTAAAGATAAGAAAAAGTGGTAAACATACATGTGTCCTAACTGTCAAACAAACTTTGCCCAAATTTTCTGGAACTGTTTTTTAGCACTTGCTATATTTCTCATTATTCATGACTATCTTAATGTCTAAAAATCTGACTTCCATCTCTGTTACCAAAACTTCACTCTTACCACTCACTTACCAAATCTTTATTGAGTGGTTAACCCTGGTTCAAAATTAACATTCATGGGGCCGGGGGTTTAGCTCAGCAGCATAAGCGCCTGCCTTGCAAGCAGCCGGTCGTGAGTTCAATCCCCGGTACCGATAAAAATGAAAAAGACAAAAAAAAAAAAAAAAAAAAAAAAAAAAAAAATTAACATTCACTAAACATTTACTATATAGTAAGCACTGTTTCAAGTACAGCATATGTTGTCATCTAAACCTTGCCAGAAAGTCACTATTGATTCCAGTTTTACTGATCAGGAAACGGAGGCATTTTAGATGGTGATTAAGGGGTGGGGCTGAAACATGGATCTTAGTGACTTGGCTTTGGCATCTGCATTATAAATATGAAGCTGACCATTGTTCATTTTGTTAGTCAATTCTAAATACTCTGTAATGCTGTCATTCTCTTGAATGGTCTTACATTGTTTTGATATACTTAATGCTACAGTATACGAAGTTGTACTCAAGGATTTCAAAGAAAGAAACAATATGGTAACTACTTTTAGGTTAGGATTATCTGGTGGTGAAACACTATTCTGCTTAAATGGTTATGTTTTGATCTGCGCTGTTTCGTTGTTATGCCCTCTTTTATCTCAATCTCCACTCCATTATTTACTTTTTTATCTTTATCCTTTTAATTAAAGGAAAAAAAATAGCAGGATATATTATAGTAACCCACTTTGACTTTTCATTACCTTGATTTAAAGCCCTGTATTACTCTCACCATCTGGTTTTTAACTGATGTTCCCCTATTCTGTTTTGCTGGATAGTATCAGGTTCGAAAGTTTAGGCATCAGCTGTGAAGATAATGAGATTCATTATGACGCCCATTCTTGTTGACTTTTATCTACTTTTGAAGACCTACAATGTCTCCAATGTTTTGGTTTTGTCGGTTTTATTCTTTACTGTTTTGTTCAATTGTATTATAACTAATGATATAGGCAATTCTATTAGAGATAGCGGGAGGCATTATGGTAACCATTGTTGATCACCTTGTATTATGTTTTTACATTATCTATTATGTCCACCCTTTTGACTTGACCGATTCTGTTCTGTTATGTCACATTTGGTTTTACTCTCTTCCAAAAAAGTAATAAGAACCGTGGGAGCAATGAAACCCAAAATGTGTAATAGTCATGGTACAAAAGAGAGGAAAAGAAAGTGCTCCAAACTATATAACTGCATGTATATTTAAGTGTATAAGATAGAAAATGATATCACAGAGTTTTATTGGATCAATGAACAGAACTGTTTGCAGTATCATTGATGGAATGTCCACTTTACAAGCTTTAATTTTGTGACTTGAACAATTATTTCTAAAATGACAATATGTAATCCATTAACTAGTGATTTCCTACTGTTCATTTTTTTTCTGTAAATCTGTATAACTTGTACCCTTTCCCTGCTTTTCTTTTCTTTTCTCCTTAAATAAAATTAAAAAAAAAAATATGAAGCTGAAATGCTGTGTGACAGAGTCAGGCATGGTGGTGCATGTCTGTAATCCCAACACTCAGGAGACTGAGGCAGAGAACTGCTGCAGTTCAAGGACAGCATGGGCTATTTAGTAAGTTCACAGACAGCCTGAACTACACAGTGAGACCCCTGTCTTGGAAAAACATTTTAAAAAGACCTACTTTCAAATCATGTGCATATGGACTTAATGTATGGTCTAACACAGAAACAAATGAGTCAATCAAAACTTACAATATTCATATACTTATATTTAAATTATAGCTCATAATTATTACCACCTCCTTCAAATATTTTTGCCATGACTTTTCTCTCAGAAGCTACTCTATTTTCAGACTTCTTTATTACTGTTCAGTCGCTATAGGTTGCACCTTCTCTTTATTTTCTGGGAAGCCCCACAAGCTCCAGAGCAGGCCCTTCCTGTTCCCCTTGGGCCTTCCCTCTCTAGAGAAGATTGATACACTCCCTAGTCCTGAGTACCAGATATAAACCAAACACTCCCAAAACCTTACCTCTGGCCACAACACTCCTCTGAACTCAAGTAGCAGAAACTAACTGCCAGCTTAACACCTCCAGCTGGCTCTAACGGGACTCTCAAACTAAACATTCTCAAACCAGAATTTCGTATTCCCTCCCTGCCAAACCTTTCCCTGTTCCAGTCCACATCCCATGAAATGGCATCACCAGAAGCTCCTACTCATCTCCCCTTCATCATGCACTTCAAATCCATTACAACTCTGTTGACACATCCCAAAGCTACTTGTCCCCAACTCTGGAGAAGACGCTCCCATGCCTGTCATCACCCTTCCATGACCCCTTCTCCTCAGGCTCCACAAAGGTTCTTGTAGAGCGTAAGTCAGGTGATACTGTCCTGCAAATGCTCCAGGGATTCCCCACGCACATGGAATGAAATGCAACATCTAAACCCAGCCTAACATCACACACATTTCCATATTCACTTCTCTGACTTTATCTCCTACCATCCTCCCTCATTCTCCCTGACCCCAGGGCACCAGCCTCCTTTCTGTCCCAAATGCCCCACACACCTCATTTCAGCGCCTGGGCACTGGCTGTCCTGTCTGCAACAGTCTTCCCTCAGACCGGTGGTGGTGGCACACATGTCACAGTGGGCACACAAGAGCACATGAGTCAAGTCACCCAGCATCGCCCCGGGAGTCAACCATCGGTTAACAATGCATACAGGGGCCATGTGTACGCTTGAAAAGGAGAAGCTGTGACAGAGGATGATGTCACAGGCAGTTTGGGCACTCCATCTCTAAAAGGTTTGCCATCATTGCCTGAGATGGATCTTGACATAGCTGATTCCTTCTCATTCAGAGCTCAGCATAAATATTTCCTTCCCAGAAAGTCTGCAACCACCAATCTTCTCACTGTATTATTTTGGGTAGCATTTTTCTGTTTCATGAGATAGAGAACTCATCTGAATTGCTTTCCCCATATTCTCAAAACCAGTAACAGTGCACAGAATACCAAAAATTTTTAAATATATCTCATAAATAAATATTAATTCTAAATACTGAACAAGGCTCTAACGATATGTCAGGCAACTCTCTACACCTCTCCAAAGTCAAGCATCACCTAGAATGAGTTTTTAACAATTCCTAGACTCTGGCTCGAACTGAGTGAATGAGAACATTCAAGTGAGAGTTCTGGTCTTGTATTCACTGAACATGCCAGGTTATTCTTACTTTTACAGAAACTTGGGTAAACATTGCACTTGATTACCTAGCTATGGCTGAGAATATACGAAGTGAGGTCTGTGTGCAGTTCAACTAAGCAGAGGAATGAAGGCCTAAAGTCTGCCCAGAGCAGTGAGGGAAGGTTTCAGAGGTATGATCACTTACAGGAGAAGGCAGAACACTCTAGGGCCAAAAGACAGGTCTCAGAGGAGACACAAGTGACACAGCAGAATTTTCAGATTCCAAAGAAACTACCTTAGTGTCACCCTCCATTGTTCCTGTGTCACCCGCAGGAGTATCACTTGTTCTTAGTTCCTCTCTGTCCCTCAGTCCACTTCACTTTACTGATTCCTCTTCCAAGCCAGGCTCTTTGCTCTAGTCTGTCTGCTCATTTCTCTCCAGCCTTTTTCCCTTAGAGAAATCATCAGGTCAAGTGGATTTCAAAGCACCTTGCTTACATGTACATATGATTCCCGTTGGTCCACATTCACATTAAATTCAGCATTCTTATTATTAGTACATGTTTGCAGTACAGAATGTTTATATTCCTTGTGTGGAGTTGGAACATGTAATAGTATCTCAATTTTCTAATTTCCTTCCTCTCCCTTCCCTCCATATCTTGACCTTCCCATTTGAGAAAAATCTCTCTATTTCCTATTATCTTTTATTTTTCTCTTTATTTATAATTTGGGTTTCTCATATAAGAGAAACCCTGCAATATTTAAATTTCTGTATCTGGTTAATTCACTTACCAAGCTCAAAACACATCCACTTATCCTTTTCTAAAATTAAAGGTACAACTATAATTTATGGAGTCACGGCAACGGCTGCCTTCTTCGTCTCTCATATTAAGCCATCAGAAGATCATAAATAATTACTTTACAGTGACTCTCAAATATAGCCCTCGAATTCCATCATCTCCATCCTGTCCCTGACCCCTCTGCCCCTGGTCTGGACTGTTGGCTCCTCTATCTCACAGTCTCTTTCTTCCTTTAATTTCTCCTGTACTGAGCAGTAGAATAATCTTCTTAAACCACCACTTTCAACATGTTACACCCCAACTCAATAATTTAGAAAGCCTCATTGTCTCCCACATCAAATCAAAACTCCTCTGCCTCCCTTTCAAGGCCCTCTATAATCTGACCCCACCCAAGCTAACCAACTTTGCTTCCTATTATTTCTCAGGAAAATCTTTCACACTGGTTGGTCTCTTTTCTGTCTCCACCTCATCCACACTAGACACTTGGCCTTTCTGACCCTGCTTATGTTAGACTCTTCACTATGAATATCTAATACATCCTCTGTTTCCTAAATCTTTTTCTGTTTTTTGTGGTCCAGGTTGAATTCCATTATCTCTAAGAAGCCATTTTTATATGGTGTCAATATACTTAGTTTCATTTTTCTTTCTGACTTTTTTGGTCCTGAACAATTCACATATTATATACAGTCTTATTATAGTACTAACAGCTTTTAATCCTAGTTGGCAAAATAAGGCATTCAGGAAAATTTCTAATCTTTACTTGCTTTTGTAAATAAAGTTTTGGTGGAACCAGTCACACTCAGTCATGTTTTCAAAGATTCTGTTGTACAGGTTAGTTGTAACAGACCATAATAGCAGCCAACGCCCATATTTACTCTCTGGTACTTCCAGAAATACTTGCCAAAATAATCTATGTGAGTACTTTTGTGTCTCAGTACATGGGATAGTATCTGTGCCTTTACTTCACGTTTATGAGTCTTTTCTCCCTGACAAGATTGTAGCACCCTGCATAATTATTGCAAAGTAATTATTTATGATCTTCTGATGACTTAACGTGAGAGACGAAGAAGGCAGCCATGGAAGCAACCCCATAAATTATAGTTGTACCTTTAATTTTAGAAAAAGATAAGTGGGTATGTTTTGAGCTTGGTAAACTATTTGAGCTTGGCTTTAGAATGTTAAGTGAAATAAATCAGATACAGAAGTTTAAATGGTATTCAAAACCTCTCTGCAATTCTGTCTGAACTGCCCCAGGTCATCCTCTACCTAAATTTAGGCCATCTTCTACCTAAATCATACTTCTGTGCTGACTTCAGCCCCAGTACCTAAGCAACATGATCAGCTCACTTCCCCTCTAGACCACAAAGAAAACAGATTCCTTAAATGCCAAGGAACTGGACTAGTGGCACTGAGCGCAAGCTTGATGATCGGATACTTCTTTTTAACCTTACCAGTAAGCACAAGACTGATGTGCCCTGTTACTAGTTGAAGAAAATGAAAAGGCTGTGAAGAGCAGTGAGGATGAATAGAACCTGACTTTTAAGTTCCACACAAAAATCCTTTCTCATGGACTCGTCAACAAAAGGAAGCCCAGGCACAGGCAGACAGTCTGATAAGTGGATGCAATAAATCAGTTCCACAAGAAGGGCATGCCAGAACAATGCTGACTTTGCAGACCTTTTAATGGACTGAAAAATATTCAATCACTGGGGGTAATATCAAACCTTTGCTCTGTCGCATTGGGGGACACATGCAAACACACATGTGCCCTGTAGGCAGGGATAGTACATGCCCAGTGTAGACTGGGACAAGGTTCTATGACCTCGTACTTGTCTGCATGATGGAATATAGCACAATGTAATATTGCACTTACTTTACCTTATGAAGCCAAAAGTATAAAATGCTCCTAGGATATATCAAAACAAAACAAAAAAAAATCACAACCACAGATGTCTATCTCTACACAGAAAAAAAAAAAAAGTACAGAAAGGCACCAAATAAAGCATTACTAGTTCCTTCCACAATTCCTGTTAATAATTAGTTGTCCCTGATTCCTTTAATTGTGGACAGATGACATAAAGCATTAAACTTTTAAAAACTTATCACTGTAAATACAGTACCTGCTGAATTAGTGCTGGCTGTCACCTAGGAGAAGATGCTCTAGATTGAGTCAGTGTGCCACACCTTGGCACCATACAGGAACCTGCTCAGACTGCTACTGCAATTTTTGTGAAGTCTGTGCATTTTTCCTTCGGGGGAGAAAATGCCCCTGAATATACAATAAAACTATGTAACCATAATGTACTTTCCATAAATTATATAAAATTATGTGACCAGTGCTTTTTAAATGCTACTTACTTCATCTACCACTACAATTTTTATACCAGAGAGTTCTACAGCATTCTGTTTTACTATATCCAAAAGTCGTCCAGGGGTTGCTATGATAACCTGAATAAAAGAGAAAAGAAAAAATTTGAAAATTAGATAATATTCATTCATTCATTTACTCATTCAATTGTTATTAAAGTGGTTAATATGTGAAAATATGTTAAGAACTCAAAATTCAATGATGAATATGTCAAACAGTTCCTGGTCTTAGATACCCTGTAACATAAAGGAAAAAACAGATATTATAACAAATAAATGCTAATGAGATAAGGATGGCAGGCCATGAAGGCAGAAATCTGTCTAGCCCTACCTAAAACATAAGCTCAAACCTAAAGGACCAGGGAGTATGCACAAGGTTAGTGAGGTGAGTGATAGAGGCAGAGGGAAAGCATCCACGACATTCCTGAGCTGGGAGGCCAGCAAGGGACAGGGGATAAGGGAGACAGGCAATGGGCAGGGGCCTTGCAGGCAATCAGCTATTTGGTCCTGCGAACAAGTGCAAAGTTCGTAAGCTCTTTGGGTTTGTTATTTCTTTTTAAACTAAAAAGCTGGGCATAATGTCTTCTAAGGTTGCTGGAGGCTCTCAAGAGTTCTACAATATAATAGTTGAAGTAGTAGCTAAAGTAGAGGTTCTCTGGTCAACCGAACTTCAGTGGTATTCCAAGCTCTACCTTATAATAATGGTATGAGTCTCTGTCATTTTCTCCACAACTGGAAATGATGCTAATTATTGTGATGATTAAATGAGAGTGTCTGATATAAAATAGAACTACAAATGATCTAATATATTCAATTGTATTCCACTGTTCAGATACACACTGAAAGGATGATAAAACCACTGAGAAAGTTAATATCTTTTGCAAGGGTTACAAGATTCTCTGTCGATACAACTATAAGGATCTGTTTGGCTATTTCAGAAATATCACAAACTTTCAAGTCAGTTTTAATATTTTTGGTTGAGTTTACTTCTTTTCTTCCTCCCCCGCCCCCGTTGCTTTAAAAACTGTAACTTTTTTTCATTCTTGTAGTATTTTCCCTTGAACTTCACAAACATATATAATCTAATAAACTGTAAAGTTAATTAAAACTTTTACCTTTTCCTTGGGCAAATGTTTCAACATATTCCCTGCAGTTGTATGCCTCTGTTGGCCAGTACCTCACATTTTTTTTGAAATTCAGAATGCTGTTTATTACTACTGTATTTATTCACTGTTTTTTAGATTTATGAACAACCTTATTCTTCATTCACCATCCTTGCTTCCACGCATACCTTCTTTTCCGAAAGCATCTTCTTTTATTGGTAGACTATCTGTTTCAAAGGTCCTTTAAATGGCACACTACTAATAACTGTCAGGTTTTTCTTTTTTAACCTGAAAAGTTCTTTTTATTTTGCCCTTGCTCTTGAAAAATGCTGCAGCTATCTTTTCTCAGATGCCTTTGGTGAGGGAGCACAAGCTAGGATGAGGCATGGGAGTGGCAGCAGGATGAGGAGGGTCCTCCACAGAGGGGAGGCCTGGGCCGAGGATGGAGCATAGAGAGGAAAGAAGGCTGCGTGGAGGGGACAGAGGCAATGGTGTGAGAGTGGGGTCTTGTAGGAAAATTGGTCAAACCAACAAACACCTAAAGACAAGTGAGTGGCAGGTGTCTCCCTGTCAGAGTTACAAATATAGGAAATATGGAAACAGAAAACCTGAAGCAAACTCCTGTTGCATTGAATTAGAATTGGAACTCTTAATGTAAACTATGGTCTCAGTCTTCAATAATTATACAAACAAAAAAGCATACTTTTAGATTTATTTCCTGCTTTCTCCAATACATGGTTCTAGAAACAGTGACAGCCCAAAAGCATCCAATCTTAGTTTCAAAACACAATTCCTTCCCAAAAGAAACCCAAGGCTCCTCGGAAGGAGGCATGATTCCAGGGCTGGGCAAGGAGGAGAACAAGACAAGTCTGGAACGCTTTCTTTACACAGGGAAGTAGTCAAACAACAGGGCATAAAGAAAGATCTAAGGACACACAGACCAATTTAAAGGTGCTTCCATAGGGTAAATCAAGGACAACTGGAGCATCAGATCAAATAATAATATAAACAGATTATAATCCTTTGAATAAAATAGGAAAACATGAATTTACACTGACATAAAGGAGTCAACTGAAAGTTTGGTGAAGCACAAAAATTTGCATAGCACTAAGTACTCCTTCCAAAATATTTACTGAATATAAAAGGGGAAAAGTGAACTTTAGACTTGCTAAAAAGCGAAAGAAACTATCACAAAGAAGACAAAAATCTGCCATTGAAGAGAATGCAGTGAAAAGTACAGAGCATCTCTTCTGAGTTAGTCCTCACCAGCTGAGGAAGGTTCTTCCAACTAAGTGACATGTCTCTGTCTCCTCCTCCTCCTCCTCCTTCTTTTAAGGAGAAAAAGTTTAATTTGGCTTATGGTTTGTAAATCTTAAAAGTGTCAAAATCATGAAAAAACTGGGAGACTGACAAACTGTTTCAAATTGGAGATGAGAATTGACAACTATATGCAATATGTGATTCTGAACTGCTACTATTAAAAAATGGGAAAATATTAAAATGTGAATGGGCTCCAAGCTATAGATGACATCAATGTTAATTCCTGATGTATTCCAATGAATCCATGCTCACCTGATTCAACAAATGTATTGTGGTTACGCAGAATAATGTTCGTGTTAATAAGAATCATACTCTAAAGCATGTAAGTGTGGCTGAGGCATCAAGTCAGCGACTTACTTCCAGGAAGCCAGGGAGAAAAAGATTTCTTTATACTGTACTACTGTATGACAGTTTCTAAAAAGCGTGAAAGCACTGTGCCCAATCTTGAGTTACTAAATGTTGCAAGCTGGAGATTACCCCAATGTGTTAACTTATTTAAGAATGGGAATGCAAGAATAGTTACTTAAAAGCTGTTAGGATTTGCACATAGTTACCCATTTGGGAACACAAGAATAGCTGTTAGAAGCTGCACATGCTTATCTTCATTCTATTCCAGGCAACAAAATAAATTCAGTGCACAAGCTCACAAGAGATTGGAGTAAATTCTATTAATTTAATTACAAATTTGATGCCCATGAGAAATATTTTTAGTATTTACTTTATAAATCTATATTGTTGAATATAGATTTGTATTAATAAAATCACCTTTACCTGTCTTACATTTCAGATATCCATATTAAAAATCACTGATCCAATATCAAATTATCTTTTTATAACTTTTGAAATATTCCATTATTGATTTATAATATCTTAAAATTATACTTTAAACTTGTTAAATGCATTTCATTTGATCTTTATAATATTACTCTAAGAAAACTAATGTTCACCCTTAGAAGTTGTTAAATTCTGGGGCTACAGATGTGGCTCAGTTGTAGAGTACTTACCAGGCATGTTCAAAGCCTAGGTTAACTCTGCAACAGGGAGGTGGGTGTTGAACACAGCAGCAGATGCCTGCCAGCTGGCAAGTCACTGCTGTCCCCTCCTCCCAGAACGTCCCACCAACTCACTGACATCTCAGTTTGTCCCCTGGGACTCCAGGATCTCCCTACCACCCCAGAAGCTGGTTAATGCTCACAAGCAGCTCAGAACTCCAGGACCCAGAACTTGCACCAGAGCTACAGCTCACTTTAACTGGTCAGCATCTGTTCCAACCCTTTTACTAAACATGTGGATTGTAAAGGCAACCATTCAACCAACTATTCAAACTCCAAGAGAACAGGCTCACAGACACGAAGTTACTTACCTACAAGATATACTAATACTCAGCACCAAAGCCATCAATGCACTGTATTACTTTTACATATTTTTAAGTATCAGAAAATATTGACCACACATAATAGCATAGTGAAGGAAGGAGCAGATACATTTTCAATTTTGACAACAATCATTTACCGGTTACATATCTTTAGATAAATCCCATCTTTCTGAGATTCTTTTTATTTATTTATTTATGTATTTTTTTGTCTTTTTTTCATTTTTATCGGTACCGGGGATTGAACTCACGACTGCCTGCTTGCAAGGCAGGTACTTATGTCGCTGAGCTAAATCCCCAGCCTCTATCTTTCTGAGATTCTAATGTACCACAAAAGTCACACTATACCAACCCACTCACAGAACAAATGTGACTCATTAAATAAGGTAATGGATGTGAATATATCCAAAAACATTTGACATATGATGGGCCACTCAATGCATTGTGTTCCTTTCCTATATGAAATGAACTTAAGAGAATTTAAGGCTTTTTTGCCAAGAATTTAAAGATTACCTAAAAGCCTACTTCATCCTCAAGGGGAAATAAAACAAAACACTAATTCTTATACAGCTTATGAAATTTTTCAACGGCATTCTATCAAACAAGTGCTCACCTTGACACGTTGTCGCAACCGATAAAGCTGTGGGGGCAGGGGTAAGCCCCCTACAAGCAGCACAGTTCTCATGCATGGCAGACCGCTCATCAGTTCTTTAGCTTGTTTCTCTATCTGAATGGCCAACTCTCTTGTTGGTGTAAGAATGAGTGCGGATGGAGTTTTGCTCTGCAAAGAGGTAAAAAAAAACAAGTCAGAAACACCAGCAGTTCATTCTTGCTGATGTGGACTAAATCTTCAGTGACTCCAGGAACACTTCCCTTTGACAGCACTTCCATGACCCCAACTAGACCGGAGCCCTTCCACCTTCCGCTCACTGAATTAGGATTTTCTTCAAAAATCATCATAAATTGATCTCATTTCTTATAACACTGACACACAATGAAAGACCAAAATTGGGGCCAGGGAGCAGTGTCCACAGTGACCATGGTGGGAAATGGGAAGGTTTGCGCCTACAAATAGTTGCTAGACTCTGGTCTTACCCATGTCCTCTGACGAGAAAAACCTGACTGTCACCATAGGGATCTGGTCAGAGCTTGGCATTTTACCCTGGTTTTTTTCTTTTATCTCTTCTACAGATTTACTTCTTACTTTGTCCAAAGGACTGACTTTTGTGGATGTGGATAGGGATCTCCCATATCCTACCTTGGCCTTACGGTCCCCCAGTGTGTCTGACCTACAGTTTGAATATCTAGTACTTTATTTTGCCTCACATTTTTAAACTTCTTTATTTTTATTTTTAAGACAGGGTCTTCCTATGTTGTTCAAGCTGGTCTTGAACCCACTATGTAGTCTAGGCTGGCCTGGAACTCATGGCAATCCCTCTGCCTCAGTCTCCCACTGTGGGGATTAAAGGGGTGTACAACCACACCCACCTCTCACATTATCTTCTACTACTCTAGCTTTCCCAATGTTTCTCTCTTATCTTTCCCCTCTTTGCCCACAAGTTTCACTATCTTCCTTCATTGCCATAGTCAGAGCCTACAAACTCATCATTGAACTTTCTATTTTTGGACTAGGGACACTCAACTAGAAAAAGTCTATGCAAATAACTCCAAAATCTTAAATATAACTGGGCCCTAGCATTTCAGATACAGGATACATAACCTGTTTTGATGAAAAATAATCACTCAAAATATTTAGTAAACTAATAATGTGTGAAAGTGCTTAATTCACTATAAAGTAACAAGTTCGGCAAGGACGCATTATTTCAAAATGAACTACAGATCATACTGAAGGCAGTATTTTGAAACTCTATGACAGAATTAAACTTTGCTAAAAAGCAGTTTCCTCAAAATACAAATGCCAGGGGTGGGGCTTTAGCTCAGCAGCACAACTGCCTGCTTGGCAAGTGTGACGTTGACAGTTCAATCCTCTGTACTAAAAAACAACAACAAAAAGTAAAATCCAAGGAGGCATAACTGACATATACTGCAACTTATCTGATCAGCAGGATTTTTTTCCCCTGGATCAAAAGCTTATTCTTTTAATAAAAAAATCTGTTTTTTTAAAAAAATGTTCTGTAAGGAATATTTTAGACTTTCATTGAAGAGACCTTTGGTTCAACACAATAAAGGAAAAACTCCCTAAAATTATGCTGTACACTCAAACTACTAAGAGTGACAATGACTACAAGTTAAAAATATTTATTCTAAGCTTCTAGTTTTAACACAAAGATGAAACATGGTAAATACTGCGTTTGTTCCTGAGAATAATGCATGTGGAGTCTATCAGTTACCTCTGGTAAAGCTTGGATGATAACAGGAAGAAGAAAAGCAGCTGTTTTTCCGGAGCCAGTATCTGCACTGGCCAGAATGTCTCTTCCCAGAAGTCCCACAGGAATCATCTGCATTTGGATGGGGGTTGGCACCTCATAGCCAGACTTCTTCAAGTTGTGATTTAAGGCCTCAGGAAAATCACAATGTTCAAAGTCGATAATGGGCCTGGTGACCTCTTGCCCTTGAACTGAAATTCCTAGCTGCTGTTTAAGATTTTCAATCTGGTCCTCCTGAAGGTTTGAAATAAAAGGATGTTCTTTATAGACATAAAAAGTAGTAAGTGGAGACTCTGGCTCAGAACCAGCATTCTGTGGACAGCAGAGATTTAGCTTCTCTTTTTTTTCCTTAACTTGGAGAAGATGTTTTGCTTTACACTCCAAGCTACAAACATCTTCATCTGTCTGATCACAGATATACTCTCCATAACGGCCACAGACAACACAGACCGGCTCCCCTGGCTCTGGCCAGCGCTGTGTTTTGGAAAAAGACTTCACAGGCTCTTCAAAAGGAGGGCTGTCCTCATTCTGCTCAGGTGCTACCTGGCTACCCTCCACCACCTGGTGAGCTGGCCTGGGGAAAGGAACCAATTCATTGCTGGCCCTGTCTGGTGTTGCCGGTTCTTTTGGAGCTAAAGCATCACATGGAACCCCTCTGTCTTGTTCCAAATGACAGTCTTCAGCTTCTGGCTTGATTTTCTTAGCTAGACAACTTTTGATGTCCTCATTAGAATTCCTCTTGATTTTTAAGGATCTTGGAACAAACATCCTTCGATATTCTGTTAAGGAAATTATATAATCAACTATATTTTATTCTCAGTCAAATTCACATATAAAGAGCACATGATCACACATGTCCCAGGGCTTCACCTCAAAGGAAAAGTGAAGACATCATGACACCACTTAGGTGAAGCTCTTGTGCGTGTCAGTTTCCTTCAGTGATTAGAAGCCTCTTCCTCACACACATCGAAGTGAAACCACTGTTCCCTACTAACCACAGCCCTGCAGTACCCTGGGTCCTGACCGCTTGCACTCTTAAGTGTCCAATATTACAAAAACCCTACAGCATATCCTTCTGTTTTATTTTCACAAAAGAAAGCTGGAGGAAGACATCATAGTTGGAATCTTTAAAATCAAAACCTCAAACCATAGTGAAAAGTGCTATTTTTATATAAGTAGCACTTACTGCTTATTTTGTGCTCAACAGTGTTTAGGCTTCACCTAATTTTCACAACTATGTGAAATTGGTTAACACTACCTTATATATGTACACACAGATATACATGTGTATTATGTATACTACATAGTATAAAATACATGCGTGTCCGTGTATATATATGTTTATCTAAGAAAACATTCAGCAGCTCACACAATTGTTAAAAGAGGCCAAGCACCCTGACTTCCAAGTACATGCTCAATTTACATCAAAAACGTATTTCTGCAAAATAACAGTGACCGGGAAAAATACTTCCAACTTAATTGTGCAAATACCAACTACAGTAATATTTTTCTAAAATATTATTAGGATAAGCGGTCAGATTCCGGTTTCGGGGAGGGGGGGAGCAACAGAGTGTCTAGAAACAGTGTCCTAAGTCTCTGCTAGTGTCAAGGGTGGGTAGGGGCAGGCCGGGAGCCATCAATAGGAGAAGCAAAAGACCACCAGAGCTGACAGCCCGGTTGCCGCCTTCTTTTCGCCAACGCCCGCCCGCCCCGGCGCGTTCCCAGACGCGTCCCCGGCGTCGCCTCGCACCGGGGGCGCGCACGTCACAGCGCCGCTGAAGACCAGGAAGGCGGGGCCGACTGCGGAGGGAGGCCGGAGACCCTCCTGGAAGACTTCCGGCCGCCGTGGGCTCGAGCCCCGGGTCCCTGAGGTGAGGGTGCGGGACAGCATAGGACCATAGGGGTCGGGGCCCACAAACGCTCACCGTCATGAGCCTGCCGCCGTGTCCGCTCCTTCCCGGCGCTAGGCCGGGCTTGCGGCGGACAAGGCCAGACCTGCTCGGCAGACCGCGGCAGGGCTGCGGAGCGAACGCGTAATCCACGCCTCCGGATTTGGGGCGGGGTGCGGGGCGGGGCCTGCGCTGTCCCCGCCTCTCCGTGGCACCCCGGGGGTGGAGCGGCGGCGGCTGGGTGGGCGGGCTGATGTGGAGGCGCGGGCTCCGGGATCCTGCTGGAAGAATTTATGTAACCGGGTGGGCCGGGCCTTGTGGACTGACCAGACCGCCCGGAAACACGCCAAAGACTGGGTGGCGCGGACCTGGCGCCCTCTCAGTGGGAAGTTTGAGTGTGGAAGGGAGGAGCAGTGGCCTCGTTAGGCCTGTTAGCCCTCTTCTGCTTTTAGCTGACATGAGTACGATTAAGGTGGTGCTTTTGAGAGACTGGATAGTATTTCCACCGCTGCCATACTCCACCTCGGCACCAAAAGAATAAAACCAAAACAGAAAAACCAGACGCATGTCCGTGTTCTTGTCCCCATGGATTGTCATTTCTCTGCTTCCAGCCTCTGCAGCCGCCTTCCAGAAAAGCTGGTAGTTGAAAAGTGATGGGGACCCAGGAGAGGCTGGGGGAGGAAGGAAGGAGATAAAGGTGGAATGGATGACTTGAGAAAAGCTGTGTTTAGGGATGTCGTATTTTAAAGTACTTTTTAAAATCAGTATCTGATACATACAAAATGGTATATTTAACAAATATAATAACGCATGACTAGTAAAAAAGAAAGCCTATGAATTTACCCCGATGTCTACATGTATACATGTAGAAATTTATTTTTCACTGCCAAGGCAAACAGAAGGTCTCTCCTGTTGAGAATCTAGTCAGTACGATTTAAATGCGTTGTACATTTTTTCTTTATCAGTGGGGGCCACATTTTTTTCTTTATCAATGGGGCCATATTAAATTTATTGAGTTTCCTGAGTTTGTAAGTCATAAAACTGTAACTGAGCTTTTTCCTGGGTGTGTGACATTTGTAACATTCCTTTCCCATTGTAAATAAATATTCATTTTTGAGCCTAAGATAATAGGTAATTGTGTATTTTTCTTTAAAACTCTTCTCTGTTTCCAGTCATGTAAGTTTATGCCCCCCGCCCAATGCCTGGCTCTGCCCTGAAGATTACTAACAAACGTGGTAGACACATTCTTGTCCACCTCGGTAGCTGTGCCCAAATCTCATTTGAGTATCACTATTGGACCAGAAGGTGTGAGAGTATTCAGCTTGACATAATGACTTCTTCCTGATTTCACAGTGACTGTACCAGTCTCTGCTGGCACCAACATTGATAGCTCTTGCATCCCACATTCTCCAATCCTTGCCAGTTAGACTTTTTACTTTTGACTAGTTTACCAAGAATAAACAAGTACTGCGTAATGTCCTTAATTTGTATTCCCTAATCACTGATAAAGATTGAGCCTTTTATTTTGACAGGGTGCTCCTTCATTCATGTATCCTCTTCTTCGTCTAAGCATTTTAAGGTACATATTTTTATGTCAATCTGTTGTCAATTGTAGGTACTGTAAATGTCCTTTTTCTAGAATGTTTTTTCCTTTTTTGTAATCATTTTAAATTTTTTATAGGAATGCTTATGTAAGAATATACATATGGGTGATATCTATAAGACACATAAAAAAGTGATTTTCTTTAATTGACAAAAGGTTTTTTTTTTTCAGTTTGTTTGAAAATCACTAAGTTTCTTCACGCGTTTTGGGATATGCATTGTGAAAGAGACTAAAGGACTTGTACAATGTCTTTTGAAGTTTTTAAATTTATTTTTAGTTGATACATGAAAACATAAAAATTCAGCGTATTTGTGGGATACTGTTTTGAATTTTAAGAACACTTTTGACCTTAAAAAACTCAAACATAAAAAGTTTTGTGACTAATGTCTGTACCATGTACTCCTTCATATTTGTGTGTAAAGATTTGCTGTTGAACCATTTGAGACAAATTATAGCATGTACCTGTAAAGACAAAGATACTCCCTCATGTACTCACGGAACAATATTCAAATTTAGATAATTTTAACATTGTACTATATAGTTATCATTGAAGTTTCACCAGTTTTTCCAGTAAAGTCTTTAGAACAATTTTCCTCCTAATCTAGGATCCACTCCAAGATCTTTTCACTTTCTTTATGGTGTTTTTTAATGAATAAAATTTCACAGCTTTAATGTAGTTAAATTTATCAATTTTTTTGTTGTTGTTGCTAGCAGGTTTGGCATCAAAAAAAAAAAAAAATCCATGTGTACCTTAATGTAGGAAGTGTTTTTGGAAAAGTTTGAAACTTCTACCTTTCACATTTAAATCATTAATCCATATGGAACTAATTTGTTCACTTCTGGCATGATGAGTACATTTCTTTGTTTTCCAGTTGGCCAGCCAGCTGTCCAAATACTGTTTATTGACTAGGAACTTTTCTCAAGTGACCTTCAATGTGATCTCTGGTCATATATCAAGATTCCACAATGCACAAGTTTGCTTCTGGACTTCGAAGTTGTGCCAATACCATTCTGTCTTCATTATTACAGCTTTATTATAGGTTTCATTATCCAGTTAAACAAGCTCCACCACATGAGCTTCCTGCAAGAATGTCTTTGCTGTACTTGGGTTTGTCCTTTCATGTACATTTTAGAATTACTTGGTTAGTTTCAAATCTCTTCATGTGATAATGATTGGAAATGCATTATTTCTATAGAAGCATGAGGAATATAGACAAAAGTTTATTCACCAAAATATAGACCAAAAGTTTATTCACCAAGCACAGCAATGCATTTCAACTAAATCAAACCTGGTAGTTCAAACTGTCTATATCTTTATCAATGATTGTGTTCAGATTTGCCTGTTAGCTTGCTTCTCACCATTCATAGATAAAATAATGTCAAATACTCTCCCATTAAAGTTGTAGATTTGTCTGTTTCCTCTATAGTTCCAGCATTTTAGTTTTGTGTGCTCGAGAACCAGTTTATTTTAGAATGTTTGTAAAGCAATTTAAAACTTAATTTATCATAGAATCTTAGATTAGAATGCATTCACCAGACTCCAGTTGCTACCCTTGTCACACATTATACACAGGCAGGTGGAATTACTTTATAGCACTCTGCTACATGACCAACTGAATTATTGAACCCTTTTAGAGGTAGGGTTCTTACTTTACAGAACAGTGCAGTTGTTCATTGGAGATACCTCTGTGACTAAGTACTATTCAAAGCATTTTGCAAACATTGTGATGTTTAATTCCCACTATAATCCTACAGAGTAGGTATTTTAATATTCCATTGTACTAAAGAAAAAACAGATTAAAGTAATTAAGCAATTTACCTGTAGTCACACAGGTAATGTGTGGCACAGTAGTGACTTAAACCTGTCTGTTTCTTAAATCCACTAGAACAAATTGTTTTCGGCTATTCTTTGTGTTAGATCTTTAATAATGTAACTTTAATTTCCAATCAAGGGAAATGATTCCAAGCACTTTTGGTGTTCCTAGCACTTCCCAAACACTTGGAAATGTTAGGAAAAATTTAAGCTTATATATCTTTCCTAACTCTGTAATCTATTTCTTATTTTTCTTGCAAAGCTTTGACTGCTTTTGCATTCAGATTCTTGCTACTTTGGAAAAGTGGTAAATCTTGATGTGAGAGATGATTCTATTATTTTCAATTTTTTAAAATGTATATATTTTTATTAGTACAAATTTGCCACATATAATGACCAAATAGAATAACTTAATTCTTTTTTCCCCATCCCCATTCTCACCCTTTAGCTCTTCTTCCTCTCTGCATATGTAAAAGCTTTGTTCCTATTTTTTCCTTTCATTCTCTTTTTATTAATCTCTTTTCTCTTTTTTCCCATCCCCCCAACCTTGTTTCCCTTCCCATTTGAACATGTTCTTCCTACTTCTAAATGTGTCCTACATTTCGCTCCTTATTTACCCGCTGACTTTCTCACACGAGAGAAACAGTGTGATATTAAAATTTGTGTGTTTGATTTATTTCACTTAATGTTGGATGATTCACTTTTAGTGTATAGTATACCCTAGGGACTTACATTTCCCATTATGAGATGTGAAGTATCAGGCTACATGAAGCCTAGTATCAACATCAACTCCTTCATTTTTCAGAGCTAATAAATCAAACCTCAGAACCATTCAGATCTCACTTGTGGTGCTATACCTGTACAAACTCTTTTTAGAAAAGCTTAGATTGATTTCTTAGGTCTCACTATACAATAATATAATTAATCTAAACTCCTATCTTTGTTTTCTTCAAAAAATGTCTCCACTGAAATATCTTTATAGTGATCTTCTATTTGTAGGGCCACAGAGTACATTGCTTATAGTTGGTCACATGGAAATCACAGCATTACTAATGCTTTATTATTAGGAATTATGATTTACAGCAGGGAGGGGCAGGAAAATATCCAAGACTGATTCAATTAGACAAGAGTTGTGGAATGTACACATCTTCCTTATCCATCCTAAGAGATTGCCTTAAGCTGTGCCTGAGAACAGAAAATGCTGCAATAATGTGAGCTAACCTGTATGTTACTGTCATGCAGTGTTGAGACATGTAGAGAAATAATAATGCATAGCATTCTTTCATCTCAGGAACCTTTAGTCTCATACCTATTAATTTATGGCTTTTTATACTTTTCATATGTGGGATTTGGAAAGCCTATATAAATATATACAGAAGCCTGTATAAATATACACCTTTTATAAATATACAGGATGAAGACAGAAGGCACGTAAGGATAGTATTGGACTTGCTATTGCCATTTTTCAATTGTATCATCATAATAAATCAGATCATAAGTTGTCTATACCACTTTCTGCCTTCAATTCCTTTTTCCTGGTAAATAGTATGACCAACTATTTAAATTCTAAAAATTTATCCACTTATTCAACAGATTGAGTTGTCATGTACCAAACTTAAAAATATAACAATGAAAAATTCATATTCTTTACACTCGTCAACCTCACAGCAGAGGAGGGGGCATAATTTCCATGGTAAGGGCTATGCCAGGGAAATTATTGGACATCACAGGATGAGCATAAAGCCAGCTATATAATGTCAGAAAAAC